GAATCTCTACACTTTTTATTATTTTCTTTTTTCATTCCTTTATTTTTATTTATTCAATTTTATATTTTTACTTGTAGTTTATTTCACTAGTGTTTCATTTCAGGTTCATTTTGCTTAATATAATTGTTATTTTCAGCTATTCATTTTCAATTATTATTTTTTAGTTGTTTCAGGGATTTCATATCATTTTATATAGTAGACAATGGAAGTCTGAACTAGTGAAATTCACTATATAGCTTGCTGAAATAATAACTCATTTATCAGATTTACTTGTTAGATAAGGTTATATTGTAAAATTGATTTGAAATAATTGAGACGCAGGTACCTAGCTGAAGTATCTATGGTATAAATAAGGACAATATTGTATGTACAGTGTCATCCCCAAAGTATGCACTATATGGGAAACTTCTTTATTAAGGGGTTTTCGACAGAAAGTTATTTTTGATTAAAGTTTGTGCATCCCCTAAAACTGAACATGCACCAACAAAATACAGTAAAACACACGTAATATACCAAGAACCTTCGAATATTTGATTTTGAGACAAGATTAAAGTACTCTCATTTTGAAAAATTTCGGGAAATGTTATTTCAAAAAGTTGTTCAGCATCAAAAAATACATCTAGATTTGAAGTCATGGCCATCTAAGTGGAGTTTCATTTTTTTATCATTTTTTTTTTAAATGGGCACTACGAAAAAAAATTGCTAAAACGATAAATAGATAGCATCCTGTATAAAACGATTTATTTCTAAAGCCTGCAATATTACGAACCACACAACTATGGTGTTGAAGACTAAATTAATTTTCAAAGTTTTTGGTGCAAAGTTGCTAAAACGATAAATAGATAGCATCCTGTATAAAACGGTTTATTTCTAAAGCCTGCAATATTACGAATCACACAACTATGGTGTTGAAGACTAAATTAATTTTCAAAGTTTTTGGTGCAAAGTTATTTTGATTTTCTGAAAAATCATTCAAAATTTTACAGTATTGTAACAAGAACTCATATTCAATAATATCAAATCACAAAACGTCAAAATGAAATAGGTATTTCGAAACACTTATTTTGGACAAAAAAATCTCCAGGAAATCAATGAGTTTGTTTTGAAATACCTATTTTATTTTGACATTTTGTAATTTGATATTATTGAATATGAGTTCTTGTTACAATACTGTATAATTTTGAGTAATTTTCGGTGTTAACAGAAAAATCAAAACACTTGCACCAAAAATTGTGAAACTTAATTTATTCTTAAAAAAATTGACCGTTGTGAACACCATAGTTGTGAAATTTGTAATATTACAGGCTTTTAAAATGAATCGTCGTATACAGGATGCTATCTATTTATCGTTTTAGCGAAAATGTTTTAAAAAATGGGTAAAAAAAGGAACCTTCACTTAGATGACCATGACTTCAAATCTAGATGTATTTTTCAATGCTGAACAACTTTTCTAAATAACATATCCCGAGATTTTTCAAAATAAGAGTACTTTACTCACTCACAAAATCAAATATTCGTAGACTTCTCGTATGTTACGTGTGTTGTATTGTATTTTGTTGGTGGATCTTTATTTTCAGGGGATGCACAAACTTTCATCAGGAATAACTTTTTGTCGAAAAACCCTAAATAAATAAGTTTCCATATGGTGCATATTTTGGGGATGACACTGTTTAATCTTCCTCTTTAAGATGATCACTTGGTGATCGAAACACGTGTCGAGGTGTTAAAAATGATGATTTGTTGTTGATTGAACCTCCAGTAATATTTAAAAAAGTTGGCAAAGGAAATGTAAAAACTGAAGAAAAAACTGCCCAGTTCAATAATTATTTGAGAATGCAGTGCGAAACTTGTTGGCAATCTATAATGCTCCAAAATCTGAAGACTATCCATCGTCTCCGCCATGCACAGTTTCAGTTAACAAAACTGAATCAAATATTTCAACGAGTGCAGCTCACCAACATTTGAACCGCGTTCATTATCAAGTTCATACTTGGTTGGAGCATGATTTGGAACCATAGAATTAGGTTTGAAGGCTCCGGAGAAATATTCTTAACTCAGTACTCTGCAATTGCAAGAATGATTGTGGTTTGTGATGCAGAAAAAGTTATTGGAAGAAATATTTGATATTTTATTCATTGTTGTAGTATACAAGATGCTACATATCAAATTGTAAAAGAAACGTTATTCATTCATTACTCGAAGTATATCAGACTTACTTAAAAAACTTATGAATCAACATTTCGAAAACGGTCTAGTCTCAAAAAATCTTATGTTGAATATATTTTTTAGTTTGTAGATATTTCTTTTAGCTAATCTCTGTGAACTAATGTTCTAATGATACTCAACAATAAAATAAAATGCATTTATTAGTCAAACAGCAAATTATCAGTATATATAAAGGAGGCACAAAAATCTTCATCTTCCAGGAACATTCGGTATCATTTTTGACCTTGTGGACTTTATTCCGATATACTGAACACTTCTTCTTGTCTACCCAATTGTCCAGAGAGAGCTTTGATATTATCCAACATAGTTTTAGAATTATACCTACCATATGATTCTTCTTCCAAATCTCCTAAATCAAACATTGGCAATGGCGGTGGAAGGGGCGTTGGTTTATTAGGAAGTGGAACACCAATCGCTTCCACCCTTTCCTCAGCACCATCGTTCTCTTCAACAGCGCAGATTTCTTTCCTGTTATTCAACATTGTCAAATCAAAACGAGGTGGTGATTTCGGTCGTTTGTCGATTTCATCGTCATCATCTTGACTACCTCTTTTTTTCTTGGCTTCGATAAACCTTTCATGTTGTTTGAGTGATTGTTTCAACTCTTGAAGCATCAAATTCAAATAAGCTCCAGACTGGTCCTCAGGTACCTCTTTTGGGTGCACCTCCGGAATATCTTCGTCAATAAGATACAGTTCAAAGTTCTCTTCTAGAGGCTCTGTCCAATCGTCATGATTGATTTGTGGTAGAGTTCTGGTCAGAGTTTCATCTTGCTCGATAGGAATATGTTTCTTTGTGAGGAAATTTTCGTCATTTTTATTGGACAGTATTCCGTATAACCTACAAAGAAGATCAAGTGACTCATAGGCACTGAAGGTATGATTCCTCAAATCTAGTAAAATCATATTGATATCGACAGTATTATCTCTTGAATTTGACTCTATCATTTCCAGAATATTCAATGACTTCTCTGAAATTATAGATAAATTATCAATGACGGATTCTAGTGTATTATGAAGTTTGGATGAGATCATATTTTCTGGTTTTTTCCTCTTCTGCGACTTATAATCTGTCCACTTATCAACAGAACAACGGAAAATATGAAACGATTTCTTTCTAGCTTCGTAGTGACGTTGAAGATAGTTCAAGATTTTGGGAAGTTCTACGTTCAGTAACTTTTTCAAAGAATATTCATTCAAGTTTTGGGAGATCGAACAAAATATTACACCAAAATAGCTGAGTAACTTGGAGGACAGCCAAATGTGAAGATCTTGTACCTTCGAAGCCAAATCTAAACATTTTTCCAAGTCTATTGAATCGTGTTCTTCCGAATATAGAGTACAAAAGTCTTTGATATTATTGAAATCTTCAGTGAGATCATCGGAAAATGTAGCGAGCACCCCAAAAGTATTCATGAAGAAGTGAAAGTAGTTTCTTTCATCTTGACTGGCCACTTCGAAAAAATCATGAATTTCTCTACTGTGGAATTTCGATGGGCATTTTCGTTCAACTTCTAATCTCGTTTTCATATACCGTATAATACTAACATCTAGGGAGTGATTTTTTTTCATCATATTCACCAAATCATTCATAAGGTTGAGTCGATTCTTCTCATCTCTAGCGCCTTTCAACTCTAATGCGGCAGTTGTTATTGTGAACAGAATAGAAGGAATAACAATCAGTTTGGTCTGTAGCTTTTTAACCAGTGTTAAAGAAAATAAAAGCGATATCACAGATGCCGTGAGGTTGAGAGAAGTCTTGACATTTTTTATTGGAGGATTATTATTATTCACCTTGTATGTACCGAGAAGAATTTCCAGATCCTCATCCAGAAGCACACCTGATTCAAGTATATTTTTCATGTACACATCTATCAATCCTGTGAACTGGTGGTGTTTTTGAAGTTGTGCCGACATCGTTTCCAATCTGCAAATGAAGATGAATAATATTAATATATTGGTAATCAATAGGTTTCAAGCAATTTTAAAGAAATAATACTGATTACAAGGTGCAGAAAGAAATGTCGTAGATAGCCTCAGACTATTCGTTCTGGGAGTATTGAAAAAGTATTATATAACCATGAAAATGGTTGGCTCCAGATTTGCACAATGGACTGGGGTTTCTGAACAATGTAATGCACGTTAATTGAAATTTCCTTTCTCAGTAAAATTTGCCTTGAAAATAACAAACAAAATGAGTTTCTACTCATAGCCTTTTTTACCAAGTAAGTGTCGTCGAGATATGAACTATAAATAAGTTTATGTGTTGGATTCTTTCTATGCTAGAGGTTTAAGTATACGTTTCAGTTAATGAATTGAGTGAAAATGAACTTGAAAACTGATCAAATAATGGAGGAATACTTATACCTTCGTAGATTTTATTTACGATCCAATCGCCTTGATTTCAGATACATATTTGAGTAATTAATTTCCCTCTTATTGAATCACAAAAAACCCTAGACAATTTAAGTCGTTACATTGCAATTTGGCTCCAGATTTGCACAATGGACTGAGGTTTCTGAACAATGTAATGCACGTTAATTGAAATTTCCTTTCTCAGTAAAATTTGCCTTGAAAATAACAAACAAAATGAGTTTCTACTCAATTTTCAATGATATCGTATATGTCGTAGAATAGTTGTATATAATATGATTCAATGTTTTTAGAATTACAATTTTTTTTACAATTTTACAATTTTTTACAGTTTCACATTTTTTTTGTGAGAATCGTCCGTGGATAGGAATTTACATACAAAAGTATCGAACTTGTACTTTTCGAAATGTCCAATGTTGGTTCTAGTCAAATCGTCATTATTATTGAAAATCTTGAATAATAATATAATCTTACAGCCGCCAGACTTTTCAACAAAGTTGATAGTTCAACACAACATATTAGGAACTTGAATTGATAACAAAAAAAATGTGGGAATCTTCCAAAGAAAGAAAGGAAGTAATCAATTTGAAAATAAGTAACTCTATACATGGATGTGTAGATCATGCAAAGAAGCAACTTTCAGACACAAAATGGAAGGAAGACCTCCTGAAACAGCTACTTTCATATAAACATTGAATTACACGAAGGAAAAATTATTTGGAAACAAATACTTTAACATGAACATCGAAGATGTTCAGAAGATACTTTTCTCTACTCAGTTTGTATCCCAAACATTCGTTATGGACTGAAATGAGATATCATTCACAGGAGTTCTACGTTAAATGAATGGTAACAAATTGCACTTACATGGAACACTGTCATCCTCACTGGTAGACATCTATGTTTCGCCGTAAGACACTTGACTTAGGTCTTTTCAGTACCAATCTGAATGACATTATAGAAAATACACACAGTTTATTCATGAATTACGATTTTTCAATGTCACGGAATAAGTTTCATCTACTGATGTCATCGATGACATCGTAATGACATTCACTCACCTATTAGTTTAAATCCCAGCCGAGAGGAATCTTATTTGAATTGAAGGGGTTATATTTTTAGGAGTGATTAATTTTTGGGAAAGAAAGTTTCTGGCTTTCTACTTCTCCATCATGATACAAAAAAAAGTGGGAATTTTCCAATATAGAGACATTCACTCACCACTAGTTTAAATCCCAGCTGAGAGGAATCTTATTTGAATTGAAGGGGTTATATTTTTAGGAGTGATAAATTTTTGGGAAAGAAAGTTTCTGGCTTTCTACTACTCCATCATGATACAAAAAAAGAGTGAATTTTCCAATATAGAGTATAAAGTTACTTATTTTTAAATTGATTACTTCCTTCCTTTCTTTGAAAGATTCCCACATTTTTTTTGTATCAATGTATCAAGATGGAGTAGTAGTAGAAAGCAAAAAACTTTATTTCTCAAAAACATATTAGGAACTATTTGATTAGGAGTACAATTTTGAATAAGGGGTTCTGTCAAAGTTGTTAGATATTCTTGAGTTACATCAAGAAAGCGGGCGGCTGAAATTTCAACATTTTGACTTTAAATCACTACTATTGATAAAGGAATTCGTCCCTAAAACGCGGACTGTACAAATTTCACCATTTTAACATCAGAACTTATATTTGTAAGTGAGAACCGCTCTTCAACTACATTCAATACAATTCATTGATAAAATGTTCGTTTTTTAAAATACCGCATGTCTGAAGAAACTGTGATCTTTGATATCAGGGTCGAATTAAAGAGTTGAGTAAAATTAAGAATGGGTCGTTAGCCGGTTAGTTGGCGCGAGGAGTTCATTCTACATTCATTCTATGATCGATTTTCACTGCATATCATCTAACACGTGCTAGGAATGTAAAACCTCGTTAATCCCTAGCTCGCACAATTGTCGACTCCAGAGAATTGTCGTTCCTGAGGAAAGTGGTGTGAGAAATAACATATTTTGAACATATGTTTAAACAGATATCAGGTTAACTGGTTGCTGGTAAATCAGCAACAATTTTAGTTTCATCTGATGTTCATGTTTCTCACTGAACATATTCAAAATTTGAATTGAAAGGTGTATATTTCAAAGTTTTTCACATTTTTCCGTATAAAGATAAAGAGTTAAAGAGTTAGTTAGAAAGCTAAAACCTTTCTTTCCAAAAATATAGTCTCTCCTAAAAATATACCCCTTTCAATATAAACAAGATTTCTATGGCTGAGAATAAATGAAATAATCGAATATCATAACGTAATGTTATCGAGATTTATGCTGAAGAGGCATCAATGTTCGATATTGAGGATGACAGTGTTCCATGTAAGTGAAATTTTATATCTCTTCCATATAATATATTCTGTAAACGTTCCTATCTATGATATCCGATTCAATTTCATAACGAATGTTTGAATATAAACTGAATAGGAAAAATTGATTTTCGTATAATTCAATGTTCATACTGTATATAGAAGTAGTTGTTTCGAAAGTATGTTTTCTTTCGAGTAAGTCAATGTTTATTTGAAGGTAGAGGGCTTTTTCTTCCAGTTTGTGTCTCAAAGTAATATTTATTGCACGATATACACATCTTTGTGTATAGAGTCTATGTTGAAATTAATTGCATTCTTTCTTCTTTTGGAATTTTCACATTTGTTCTGTATGAAGATTGAGATGTAGAGAGCCAAAATCTTCCTCACCTAAATATTCAAAATTTCAATGACAACATTGAAAAACGGTTGTGTGACAAAATTATGGAGAATATACATATATGTCATGATCAATTTTTATATTTTATCACATAATATTCAAAAGTTACTCCATTCGTATATTTTTCACTTCAATGCGAAAACTTTTTTCTTTTGCCCACTCATAAAATACATTGCTGAGGGATTATAGTATAATATAAACTATCTGAAAGAAAATCTTCACTGGGATTACATTAGACAATATTTCTTACATTTTTATTTTTTTATATTGGTACTCTCGTTTCGAACATATGGTCACGGTTTCAGCTGTTTAGCATGTTTAGTTTGTTAATGAGAGGAAATGAAAGTTTAAAGTGTTAGGATTTGCTTAAAATTTTGTGTAAGAAATTGAATTGACTAGGTACTCAAAAACACTTGAAATGTTGACAGTGCCATACGGTGATTATACTGTGAGCCAGAAAAATGTTTACAAGTGGAACAATCTTTTCACAGAAGGTAGAGAAAATGTAAATGACGGTACTCGCCCTGCACGCCCCAGCAACCGATGAAAATGTTTAGAAAGTGAAGAAAATTGTTATGGAGAATCGTCGAATCACTATTAGAACTACATTTTCTTGTCCATAGGCTGGTCACGTTTCCTTTTAGCAAAGAAATATATGGATATTACCGGAGTTTATTCCCAACACCATCGTGCATCTTCTTTTGACTCTTCCTCTCCCACATGAGACGTTCACAAAAGAAAAGTGGGCAATACATGAAATAGCAGCCACTAACGGTTCCTCGACGGGTATTGTGAATGACATAATAAGGAGGAAGAAGTTTATGTTAAGATTGAACGAAATCTCGACTTTTAAAAAGGACAAAAACCAAGATAAATATATCTCAGTTCCATACCACCAATACACGAAGAACTTTGGAAATATTTTCAAAGAATTAGGTATGAAGGTGGTTTTTGAAACAAGTCATACACTACAGATCCTTTTAGGAAGCCCAAAAGACAAAGTCGAGAATTTGGAAAAGTCTGGAATATACGAAATGAAATGTAAGGACTTCGATGCAAAATATGATGAACAGACAAAAATATCTATCAAAATAAGATATAACGAACAATAAGCACACTTAAAATATGGAAGACCTAAAAACTCAGCAGTCAGCCATCATATTTTGCAAAAAAACCATTCCATAGACTTCAGTTCATTAAGATTAAACGTTTGTTTGAAGGTGATTGACAATGTTTCGTGATGAATTTCACTAGTTCGGACTTCCATTGTCTATTTTCATTTCAGGTTTATTGTTGCTTAATATAATTGTGATTTTCAACTATTCTTTTTTTTAATTTTTCTTTTTTACTTGTTTCAGGGATTTCAAATCATTTTATATAATAGACAATGGAAGTCCGAACTAGTGAAATTCATTAAGATTAGTTAGACAAGTTGACAACAACAGGCATATAGATACCTATGAGAGTGTAAAAATAAGTAAACATAATAATATTATGAATAACGGTGTTGGACCAATACCTAATAGTATACTATAAAGCTTGTTAAAATAATATTTTATTTATTAGATTTACCTGACTATTACATAAGGACACATTCTAAAATTAATTTAAGACTAGTAGATAAGGCAATACTGTGAAATTAATTTAGGACACTCAAGTATCTATGACACCAGGTATCTATGGTATAAACAAGGATAACCTTGTAAGTATGATTAGTTTGATCTTCCTCTTGAAGATGATCACTTGGTGATCGAAACACGTGTCGAGGTGTTGAAATAACGGTTTGGTGTTGAGAATGAACTCCAGGAATATTCTTTACTACACCAAAGGTTCCAAACAGTGTATCATAAGTAAAGAATTATATGATATTGAGAAAAATGTTATCGGGGGTATAGCTGAGAGTTGACTAGAAAAGAAAATTTAGGGAGTGTCTTCGTGAATCCTTTACTTTTCAGAAAGACGAAAACTCAAATCTAATAGTTCATTCATACAACCAGACTACACCAACGGATTGGTTGAATTTTTTTCAAATTGAATATGAAAGTGCTCGTATACTTCAACAGATATTGGGCAATCCGGAAGACAAGACGGTGAAAAAAAAGTCTGGAATTTACGGAATAAGATGAGAGGATTGCATGGAAAAGTATGTTGGTCAAACTAAGTGGTCAAGTCCAACAAATTCATGTAATATACGAAATATGTAATGAAGGAAAAAAAATGAATTTGTTGGAAGCCATGGAAATCAATAAATCAATCACAAACCCAAAATATATAACCCTAAACCAGCAATTCGATTCATGTAGGTCTTATGAATTTATAATTTCTATAATCTTCAGTGTTGAATTTTATAGTTGGTCACTTAATAACCTCCCCATTCAGCTTACCTAGAAACTCCCTATATACCCACATTTTTAGACTCCAAATATATTAGTTTTTATACTTGATAATGGGATAAAACCCAAAACCGGTCGTAAAAATAAAATAACTAGTGGAAATTAAACAAAAGTGTTTTCATTAATATTGAAATTCTCTCTTGCTTTCATTGAAGATGATATAAAAACACCCGATGTTATTTCGTGTCCGCTGCTCTGTATTATTTCCTAACCCAATCTCAAATAATCTACAAGCGAACAGTAAAATCATTTTCCCTCTTTTAGTCGATATGCACTTCCCTGTATATCTATTTTTATTTTCCAATCCATTGGTAAGTTAGTCATTCCCAACCTAGTAGTAATTGAGGTTATGTTACACTAAATACACTCGAAATCTACTCAATACTCACTCTTACAACAATTCACCTGTTACGAATATTCACCATACGGCGATACTGAATCAGAATTACAATATTCAAATAACTAAACTTAGACACGACTATGGGTTTGCTATGTTATTGATTACAAACACAACCAAAACAGCTGATCGCCGCCATGTCCGACTACGATTAGTTTCCAGCGTTGCCAACTCAAGGAAGCTACTCTGCGCGAGATTCATGACAGAAATTCCAATCCAATTAGAATGGACACATATTTGAATCATATCAATGAAAATAGAGATAAAAATAAACAAATACATCTAATGATTATGATGTGTAGGTTGTCACGTCCGATGTCTTACGGCTTATTTTCTGTTTTCGTATTTATTATCTGTGATCTGCAGGCAACGCTAGGCACAAAGCTTGACGTTTCTTCAACAACTGCGGCAGATTTTATTGAAGGTGATATGCCGATAATATGTTGAATCAAATGATATATGTGTTTTACAGTTTTTGTAAAATTTCAGTCTTTGTCACTCTTCTACGAAGACAGTTTTCTCGAGAAGAATACTTGTTATGGATGAAGAATATGGTATGAATCGATCGGTACTTGCTACACAAAACATAGAAGAGCAAAACAAGTGGTTGAGTGGTTCTATTTGGACCGTTAATTTCACCAAAAAATTGATACTGTAAGATGATAGGCCTGAGGCATTCTGAGTTGAAACTGATTTGCAACTAATTCGCAAATATAGTGAAGATACACAGATTTTGCGTATTTTGCACCGTGCCGGCAACACTGTCCGTCTCCGTCCAGTACGCTAGCCTCGGCGCCCGAAGCGAGGCGACCGTGTCTCGAATCGTTTATCGTTTTCTGTGTAGTCGACTGAATGGCTTCTAACGTATACGGGACTATTCACTATTCACTATTGCATTTCTCATGGATTATCTGAAAATTGACACATATATGCAATTCTTCAGGTAATTCGTATTGGAAAATGGATAGATTTACTTCATTTCTCAAGTGAGATTTGGATGAAAATATTTTTCAACCTGTCGTTCACGACCTTTCCTTTCGGACATACATTGAAAGGACTATAAAATATCGAATTATAATAATCGATTAAATATATTTTTCAAAATGCTTTTCTGAGTGAAAAATCGAAAATGAAATCATAGTCACATAAATAGAAAGCAATAGTAAATATTGCTTTCTCCTTTTCCAATATATATTTCAAGTAGAAAATTGAATGGAGGCGAAAATTTCAATTATATCAAGTTGGATTCTATTTTTAATAGTTTTGTAAATGTCAATTCAATAACTCGGTCATTTCAAACAAGAAAAGTAAAAGCTTTCTCATTCCATCTCTGTCCTCATTTTGAACAAGGCTGTCTTATATGGCTCAATAAAACAATAGACAGGGAAATGGCAAATGACAGGGTTTTTGATCTGAAACATCTATAGCCGCAGGTAATAGCGATTGCTGGCGTGGCAACACATGCCGTGGCGAAGGATCGCCATGCGCAAGCGACTGTGCGATTATCTTCCTACTGGTTCGGAGTTAGGCTACGTCTCTCGTCACGCTGAGCTCGGATACCTATAGTCATACAGTTGTGTTTACTACAGTATACATAATCTATCCAGTCATCAGTAACGAAGCAAAATAAAACTTACTTTCAACACAAATATCATACAAAGTATTTTGTACAACTGTCCTGTTTTCATAAGGAAATGGATAAATTTGACATCTCTTGTCAGTAAACTATTCTCATGTTATCGCATCTGCTGTGAAGTGGCCGTGTCAGGTGACGCAGAATCACCTAGTTACCAACAAACAGCATTGTTTACAGCTCACGCGTTTCATTCAAAGTCACATTTGAAAGTCTTACTGGTGTTTAATGTATATAACACATTAGTAACAGAATTTAATTGTATCTATATCTATTGTTCATAATAAAACTTCTTTGAAAATTGAATAATTATGTTTTGTTTACTTATTGCTATTTGGTCAAAAAAATTGTGTGAAAAATACTCTTTACACTAGTGTTAAAAATATTTTTAACACGCTACTTTGAAAACATCGTCTTTCAATATTCTTGACAACCATTACAAATGTAAATATGGAAGACTATTCAGTAGGACAAATTATAATAGGTTTTATCAGAATTGTCTTCAGATTGACTGGGAAATTATTCTATCACATAATGATCATTTCCCTTCATTTCACAACATCTTAATGGATGTATTTGAGGCATCATTTCCTATACAAAAATCAAAATTGAAAAAAAAAACATAGTTGATAAAAGGTTTGCAGGTCGATGCATTATATTCGGAAATTCATAAACAATCTTTATTTAAACTACTTTAATAATTACCGTAGAATTTGTAGATTGACAATCAAGCGAGCTAAAGAAATATTTTACAATAATAGACTCAGTGAGTCTCACAATAAGATGAAAAAGTACTGGTCATTTATAAATGACTTAAGAAACTCAAAAAAACGAAAACGTAACATTACTCTAAGTCCTGATACTATAAATGACTTTTATGAGTAAAAATATTGCTAGCCCTTATGATCCATTAGTACATCTAGAAAATGTGGGCGTGGATGAGAACGTGTCTCTGTATGACACCAACATCAATGAATTAATTGAAATCATGATGGATATCAAAAACAAAAATACTGCAGGCTACGATGACATTTCGATCAAAATAATACAAAACCTTCCTCCTTATGCCCTAAATGTTTCACTGATAAATGTTTCACTGATAAATATATCCTTTCAAACGGGCATATTCCCTTTTTTTCTAAAAACCTCTGTGGTTATTCCTCTGCATGAGGGCGGAGATTCTGATGAGCTCTACATCTCTCATACCAACCATCGCAAAAATCATTGAAAAACTAGTTAAAAACGACTACTTGGATTAATAAATAAGCATAACATCATCAGTGAAAATCAATTCGGCTTCCAGAATAATAAAATTACGCACGATGCTATTTTCTCATTCCTGAATAAAGTTTATTCTGAGATAAATGTCGGTGAAAAGACTGCCGCAGTGTTTTGTGACCTGTCAAAGGCATTCAACTGCGTTGATCACAAAATACTGCTGAGAAAGCTCCAACGTTATGGATGCAGAGGAGTAACTCACAAATGGTTCGATTCCTACTGAATGGGATGGACGCAAATGGTCAAAACAACTCAATTTAAAAAAAAAAAGGGAAATTAATTCTGGAGTTCCACAAGGTTCTGTGTTAGGTCCCATTCTTTCCTTATTATATAATAATGACCTCTTCAAAGTTCACCTTATTTGCAGATGACACTACCATACTTTGGAATAATAAAAACACTTGTGAGTTGCACAAAATAATCTCTGCCGACTTGAAGAAAGTTAAAAATTGGTGTGATTCAAACATTGTATCTTTCAACTTGACTAAAACAAATTCATTATCATTTAGATGCTCAATCAATGAACTTTTTTTTGAAGACAGATCACTGGAATCTGAAAATAGCACTAAATTTCTAGGAGTCTTCATTGACCAGAATTTAAAATTTGTTTATCACTCACAACTCACTAGAAAAGTCTCCTCTGGCTGTTATGCGGTTAGATGGATTAATAAAGAATTGGGGTTCAGCACTGCAAAGATGGCGTACTTTGCACTCATAGATTCTCACTTAGGCTACGAAATACCGTTTTGGAGAGCATGCAGTCCAACTTCATTCAAAAATCTACTAAGTTTACAGAAAAGGGCAATAATGTATATAGGAAACCTCAAACTAAGAGACTCTTGTAGAATCTTCATCAAAAAACATAATATTCTAACGGTAACTGCATTATCTATACTGGAATCTGTGTGTTTAATAATTAAGCATATATTAAATTTTGCTCTTCCAATTATAACATCCGAAACTGCAGACACACTCTGAAACTCACTGTGCTCACTAAAAACATTACCAGAGACTCCATATTTCACAACGGTGGAAAAATGTACAATCATTTGCCAATGGACATAAAATCTGCCAATATAAATGACTTCCAATTCAGAAAGTTAGTCAAACATTTTCTATGTGATAGACCCTATTATATTTTGGATGAATATTTCAACGATATTTCAACGAGCTCTTAGGTTGTTACTTTTTATGGCTACTCTTTTATAAACTTGACTTTTACTCTTTTATATATACATATCTTTTATATCCTCCATTTTAACATGGTTTGTACCCATGCACCATTAATATTTTTATTTTAATTTCAGTTGGTATTTATTGCATTTTTTAAAGTATGTACTACCCAAGTGTTTCATCTACGAGATTATGTCTTATGATAATGAAGAATATTATTATTATTAATGACAGTTGTACAAAAAATATCATTATCGAAACTGGACATCACCAAAATCAGTAAAACACAAAGACATACTATTAATGTTATGTAAGATTATATCAGAATATACTGATTTTCATTTTAACGTATTTTAAAAACACTTTATTGTGTGATTCTCACTAGACAGTTTTACAAAAACGCAACACGTTTTCCGCCATACAATGACTTCCTCGGGCGTGTCTTTTAGTTTCTTTCAATTTTTTGACAGTAAATGAAAATAATGTTTTGTCCAATAATTGTGCAACATACCTCAGTTATCATCCACCAATTGTCACAGTAATACCGTCAGAGGCAATAATAACTATTACGGAAGTCACTGATTGAAAGAATTTAGTTGTCACAATTTGGAATAAATTTTTGAAATTTTAATTTCTTTGGTCAATGAAAATAAATTTTCATTGAATAAGCGATCATCATTTTCTGGAAAAAATTCGTAATTTTTTATTTTTACATTATGGCATATCGCTCATTTTCTGCAACGTCGTAACTCAAAAATTGAGCTCAGAAATGACACACTACCAAACAAAAGTACACGTCATCGTCATCAACTCTTTGGTGTTAACTAGAAAAACCTCAATTTATGAGTTATGAGCGATATTGGTTCCTGTCGTAGTCTGTTCTTTTATGAACATTACTTGTACAAAATAATTTCGATGTTTCACATCTGTCAGGCGTCCCGTGACGGCTCAGAATTTTTTTTCTGAAATATGTATTTTCAAACAAAAAATGACATTCTTCATGAAACAGACGTTTTTTTGTGTTGTTGAATAAAGTAAAAATGATGAAATCTATTCATCTCACTATATGTTTAGTAAATAT